AGAACCTCCGGCACTCAAAGCTGGTGCTTTGCCCCTGAGCCACAACCCTTCACCTAAGGGATCTGCCCCATCCCCCGGACGCTCCACCTTGGCCCCTATAGTTCCCGATACTACAGCCGCATCTTACCGAAGGCTCCCGGGCCGTGATGTCCGTCCGACTCTCCGTCCGTTCCCACTGCTGGAGGGAGCAATTGCTGATAGGCCGCAGGGTGGGGGTGATGACGTCGGGGTTGTTGCCGTACAAGCTGACCGGCGAGCGCCCCCCCTTGCGGTTGCAGGACTCCAAATAATCTTTGACGTAATCCGAGTGCCTGCTGGGCTGCTGGTAGAACCCCTGCAGGGCGCTCAGCTCCGTCCGGTTCCGGGCGATCAGGGGGCTGCGGGTGGTGGAGTCGACTCGGTACGAGTCGGACAGATGCATGCCGGACAAGTCCCGTGCCAGGTCCGAATGGCTGCTGGACTTCTTGCGGCCCAGCATGGTGCGTGTGGAGCGCGGGGCGCGAGGGGGCTGGCGCCCCCCGCCACTCAGCCCTCCGCTGCCGGGGGGCCTCACCGGGACCCGGACGTAACTGGGGCTCAACCGAGTGCCAGAGTCGGGCCGCTGGAGCAGGCGCCCGCCCCCATCGTAGTTCAGGGAAGAGGAGGGGGAGGTGGTCGCCCCCGAAGTCCTCAAGTGACTGGAGGTCAAGTAGCTGGAGGTCGTGCCGGGCTTGTAGCCGATTTTCTCCTTGTCCGGGTACGAGGAGGACAGGTTGGAGGTGTAGGAGGAGTAGGAGGAGTAGGCGCCGTAGCTGGAGGGGGACTTGCTGTAGGAGCTATCAGAGTAGCGGGACGAGCCGACATAGCGCTTCAAGGTGGAGGACAGCTGGGACATCCTGAGGGACGGGGCGTCGGAGGCCGCGCTGGTGGCATCGACTGGAAGGACAGACGGAAAGAAAATCAGGGTGTAAAGTAACCATCAGAGCGGGAACAGCTGAGGCGGAAGACTGGCAGGGATGCGACCGGATTCCCCAACTCTGCTGGTTAATCTTGGGGGAACCCCCCACCCCTTTCCATTTTGCTTCTCCCTTGGGAAAATGGAACCTGCCACTCTTCATTGTCGTACCTCTTTCTGTATTGTTATGCCAATTTTTTCCTCTTAAATGTATGCAGTTGTTGGTGTCTACACACCATTCGAGACATGCCGAATAATGCACCTTCGGTCCACTTTCGATGCACTTAAGCAACTGTTCACAAGTAGATTTTTGCCACTGCACACCGTAAGATCCAGTTCCAAAGTGTACTGAAAGCGCATTATTCAGCATACGTGAAAGTAAATAGCATCAAAGAGACAAACAGGATCGGGATCAATGGCACGGAAAGTGGCAAAGTGAAAAAGCCAACCAATGACAACACTGGGAAAGTAAACAAAATTTGAAAAAAACGGCTTATTTGTAGGATGCCCTCACAAAAGGCCACTTCACACATGAACATCGAGTTCCAAGGAATTAAAATGACAGGTACAAAATATCCCTCTGAATTTTAAAAATAGAGCAGAAACACTCTTAATGGGGAAGCGCTTTGAAGTTAAAATATGTTCTTGGAAATCCGGAACAGCTTTTCAAGTTGAAGGACTACATACAGGCACGAACAAGAGCGACCGAGGGCTGATTCACATATTACACCAAGTCCTTGTGGCCGTCAGGAGGACTTTTTCTATCTGTCCTGGAGGTCCCCAATGGAAACTCGGCTCCCAGGTGCACAGAGAGGCCCAATTTGCTTTCAGACTGCAAGGCACTGGGAGAAGCCCCCCCCCCCCAAATATCCTGGTTCCCAACCTGAAATCACGC